TTATCATTGCCTGCGTTTCAAGCAGGTGCACCTGATGGTGTGCACCTGTCATCCAGCCTCTTCTCAATGCAATCCATTTTAAATGACATGATCTCAACACACAGCTTACTCCGCATGAGCCCTACGGCTCAGTGTAGATGCAGTCAAGTGAAGCCTGCTTAGTGCGTTGGGGAGTAGCGAGCTATCTCTAATCACGTTTGATACTTTCATCCCCTTGAAACACGAGGCAACCCTTTGGCTGGACTCTTTAAAAAGAGGATTGGCCACATAGCTGTTGCCCAGGTTATTCTGTTCTGTTCTGGCCGGGGGCACAAGGACGGGACGGGCAGGAACGAACGGCCTGGTGAATTATTAGTGCTGAGATAAGTTGGAGCAGATCTGCGATTTTTCACGGACGGATTAAATGTTTTATGTGCAGATAAGCACAAGTATTTACTTAATATACAAAACTCTAACAAGGAAAATACCAGTCTGCTGTTGTGACACTGTGACAACATGAAAATGGAGCCCAGAGAGTATCATTGTGACAACCCCAATGAATACACCGCTTTTCATAGAGTTGTGTGTGTGTCTGTCTTTGTGTTGTTATTAACACATATCTGCAATTTTAATTTGTAGTGTTGTTGTTTGCGTCGATGTCTTTCTTTTTGTTGCACTAATTGGTTGGCAAGGAAGTAAGAGCTCATTGTTCTGATGTAAGGAACAATGCTGGACAAAGCCCCCTGTCGGCGCTGCCAGTAGGGCGGGTGGAAAAGGCTAGTCCGCGCTGCCCAAACGGTAGCTCATTAAGAGGAGTACAAGGAGTTATGCAGAGCTAAAAACGTATCATTCCAGTCTGTCTGAGAGGGGTCGTCGTGGCGCAGGGGTTAGAGAAGGTGTGCTGGGAAGTACAAGGTTGGTGGTTCGATTCCAGGCTGCCCCATGTTCCATGTCAAAGTGTCCCTGAGCAAGACACCTAACCCCTAATTGCTCCCCGGGCAAAAATGGGAAAAGGCCACCATGGGTTTAAATTGTAATATAAGTCGCTTTGGATAAAAGCGTCTGCTAAATGACCTGTAATGTAATAATAATAATAATAATAATAATAATAATAATAATGTAATGTAATAAAGATACCATGCTGCTGCGCTCAGAGAGAGCTGCTAAGAGTTGGCACAGAGTTGGCACAGGTTAGACTTAACACTGCTCAAACGACTCATGAGATCAGGAGTAAATTGTCACAGTTTGCGGTTATGCCTTCGGTCGCTGTTCTTGTATTGATACCATGAAGAGCTGCTAAGAGTTGGCCGGCACAGGTTAGACTTAACACTGCTCAAACGACTGGACTCGATCAGGAGTAAATTGTCACAGTTTGCGGTTATGCCTTCGGTCGCTGTTCTTGTATTGATACCATGAAGAGCTGCTAAGAGTTGGCCGGCACAGGTTAGACTTAACACTGCTCAAACGACTCATGAGATCAGGAGTAAATTGTCACAGTTTGCGGTTATGCCTTCGGTCGCTGTTCTTGTATTGATACCATGAAGGTGTTTAAAGTAGCCTGTTAAAACAGGCATGAAAATGTGTGTAAGAAGGATAATTAAATGTTCCTTTATTGCACAGATTTACTAAATCAAACAGTAAGACACATTGTATATCGAAACCAGAATTCAGTTCCAAGTTGTAAAATGCAGAAATAGCAGAATCCAGAGTTATTTTCTAAAGGAAACGCCACTAATCTTACTCTATGACCCCTACAATGACAAAGATATTAAGATCCAGGTGATTTCATCTTCATTTTAAAATCTGAAATCTCCAACAGTGTAGTTATTGCTCGTCATACATCCATGGCTTGAACTCCTCCCTACGGACTGCAGATACGAGTCTACACAGAGGCCGAGGCACTGAGCCATGATGAATATCTTTGAACGCACCCCGTGTGCTCGTCCTCGCGACACAGAATCTGTTACGCAGCTTGCGCTGACAGCAGGACCCTGTTTCAACGTCGAGCCAAGCATCACGTCCACGTCCTCTATCCCAACTGTGCAGGCCACACTTGCATCACATGTCCCCAGAGCGTTTCCATGACCCACTGCCCTGGCTCCCTCCGCCTCAGCAACAGGGCTCTTTACAAACATGTGTGTATTTCATGGGCCAGCTCACATTGGGTCAGAGAGGATGATCTCTGCCCAAATAGGCATTGTGTTGGTGATCATTTTAATTACTACTCATCAATGGCACGGCGTAGTGTAAGCCAGCTGTGCGGGGCCGGGGGGGGGGGACTGTGTAGCCATGTGGCAATAAGTGTGAATATAGTGCAGTGGAAGTGTTTGGCACACATACAGTACGTGCTGCATGGATAACACATGGATGCACATTAGCTACTGAACATTGTGAGTACATCCCCCTTCATGAAGCTGTGGCAAAACAAACTATGAAAGGAGGAAGGAAACTAAGGAAGTACGTCCCAATTAAAGAGAAGGTGGCACAGAGGGGGGAGTGTGTCCTGGGCCCTTATCCAGGTTTTACACCAAACGACTGCAGAATACAACAAGGCTTCCACTCAATACCAGGACATTGGCGGTGGTGGTGAATGCATTAATTTGCAGACTTATTATTGGTTTTATTACTAATAAATTCATAGAAGAGGCTTTTTTCAGGGAATTGGCTAGAAATGTCCATCAGTTGCAGCACAAAAGCTTGAAAATAATACACAGACAAAAAGCCTAAAGGTATGAAAGGCAGACACGACAAAATAAACCCTGTAGTTGAGGAGTAATTTCCGGTCGAGCAGATGAGGACACCTTGTGCGGAGAATCAAACTGAATCTCCGGGATATTTTTTTGGATTAAAGTTAGTCAATATCCGTAGACTCTCTGATTTGATTAATGCTTATGTTTCTTGCTCTGCTGCACTGAGATAAGATGCTATCTTTCATTTTGCCCTTTACTGTACCTAACTGTACCTAAGTAGCTGAAGAGTGGATTGCTGTATTGGAAATCAACTATTTTTGCTCCTTTATTGGCCAAAATAAGTATGCCGGGATAAAGACCACATCTTTGTTACCTTCCTCTCCTCCATCTTTAGATTCCCATGGTGACATATGGTGCACGTGTCAGTGCACCAGTGTGATTAATGCACTTTACAAGTGAACTATCTTGTTGTCTCTGGAGGTAACTACAACAGATTGCTCTAAATGAAAACTTTAAAAATTATACACGAGGGAAAGTGCTAGGGACTGTTTGTTGTGGATTACAAAAAGCAAAAGAAAGCCACATCCAGAGATCATTAATTACAGGGTGACAGCCGATGCAGGACAGTATTCATTTTCATATATGATTGAATCTGGCATGTCAATGAATGAAGGACAGACTGGGGCACCGCACGTATTTTTTTCCACTTGATTTTAAATGATCTATTTTTTATAAGTTGAAGCAAATTTAGTTAATTTCATATTTGACTGTTATTAAAGATTCTATGGACATTTTGTTGCTTATTGAGACCTTTGCCAAAACCGATAAATCTTTACAAACGCTTATCAAAATGTTTCAACATGCAATAAATCACACATCAGACCCAGCTGATCGTTGGCAAATCATCACAATTCCCTTCAAGGCAGTATCCGAGGCATTGTGCAGGACGCACACACAGACACACACACACACAACCTCAATGCTCTTCCCACTCGTGTGTGCTTTGGCTGTCAGAGCTGTCTTTGTATCCTATCACCATAACAACTGCCTCACAGAGCATCAGAAAAAAAAAGAAAAAACAGAAAGTGAATTTGTCTCACACAGTTTGACTTGGAGATGGTGAGCGTAGCAGTCGACCGATCCACGCAGCACGTGGTTTGCATGAGAAAGAGGGTAGCTTTTAGAGGCTGCAGACGGCGTGGCGCGCAGGGAAGTACTGAGTGCGACGTTTGAATCCGGAAGGTGCAGGGTGTGACTTTTATAGAACAAGGCATATGCAGTATGTGATGCCACATATGGTGAGTGCCTATGGCTTCTGAGTGCTTTTCGCCTTCTTGCAATGTGAGTGTACCTGTTTGCACGTGTTGAAGTTTGTTACCTTGAATGCAGTGTGCTAAGTAACTCAGCTGTGTAAAATGTAATATATGTGTGTTTGTGTCGGAACGGTTTTGCACATGTGGATGTTACACAATGTCTGAGAATGAGAACCAGAGAATTAAACAGTAATGAAAGTCTTCTGTTCAAGATAATTTTGTATAATCCTGATCTTGTCTCAATTACATCCTCAAGATTCATATTAGATTCATATCTATGTCCTCTTGGATAGTTTATATGTTAGGATTGTACCACAGGCTAATTTATAAAAATGACTATTTTACTCCAAGCCGTTTTTTAGTATTGCACATGATTGCAGTCATTAGACACTTTGACACTGTTCGCTATAAAATATTGTGTCTCAGATATAAATTGTTGTTGTTTTGATTCGTCAGGGTATAGAAACATATTCTAAAATGCTGATACCTCGTTCATAGCTTAATTTCCTCATCTATGCTCTCCAGGGTTACACCCATCAGCAGAGGTGATGAATATGTTTAATCAGAGGAAGAGGAATGTAGGTTTGTGCACATGTCTTTGCCTGTTTTAGGACGACGGTTTTAAACGCCAGTGTTAGACTCAGTGTTAAGCGTTACTCTCCGGCATTGTACAATATGATAACCATTACATTTGAACTGAAAATGTGACGTTAGCCTCAGAATCAAATTTTCTTGGGTCTGATATCCAAAAGAAAAGGTCTTAATTTCAGCATAACAGCCATTTTCTGGTCTTTTTCGACATCCTATCGCTGGTTTTATATCTACTGCACATGGCCCATTTGCTTGGCATGACAGAATAAAACCTTCAAACACAGAAAGAGAGAGCGGTGACTTTAGCTTTCATCTCTGAACTGCATTATTAAACATCCCCCATCCAGTCTGACATCAACCAATCACAGCTGTCTTTATCTTCACTTCCCCCTTACCTCCTTCCCACTACCTTGTCTCCCTCCATTAGGCAAACTTGAAGAAGTTTATGGAGTACATGCAGCAAAGGAACATTGAAAAGGTCTCAAGGTTCCTGGAAAAGGGCCTGGACCCCAACTTCCATGATCCAGATACAGGAGGTGAGGAACTATCTTAGTTAGCAGTGATCCAAATGCATATTTATTGAAGATGCAAACCCACAGTTTTGTCAACTCCAACAAGCTTTGTCCTCAAATATTGACAGCTTCAATTGTTTGATGTTATTATACTAAGAAAAATGCACAATGTTACCTGAAATAACATTTTGGTTATTGTTTGCTTTCTCGTCTTTTGATTTTACAGAATGTCCTCTCACGCTCGCAGCACAGCTGGAGGGATGTGCAGATCTCATCAAGGTGCTGAAGAGTGGAGGGGCGCATCTGGACTTCAGAACAAAAGATGGCATAACAGCCCTGCACAAGGCCGTGCGCAGCAAGAACTATACAGCACTTATAGTGAGTGCAGTACACACACAAAGGTCGCAGACAGCTGACTAATCTCTTTTATTTCTGCACTACACCAATTGCTTTCTTGCAAAAATGTTCCCTTGGAGAAGAGAACTTCCAGGTAGGAAATCTCTGGCAAAGAATGCTTGACCAATTGAGTACAGAGCGAATTAACAGCCCGAGCGATTACTAAATATGTGAGGACTCACATGATCTCTTCAAATTGCCCGGCTATTCATTAAATGGCCTCGCATGTGCCTGCTTTGAGGATGCTTGTAACTTCAATGAAAGGATTTACATGAGTCATGCCATTTATTTTCCCGTTGAGCTGGAACCGTTGAGAATGAAATTGGTTATTTCTCATTGTCGAAATACAAATATTTAATGTCACAGTGCCGTGTAAGATACATCATCTATTTCCACTGTGGGTGGCGTGGTGGTGTAGTGGTTCGTACTGTCGCCTCACAGCGAGAAGCTCCAGGGTTCAACACACCACCCAGCGGCCTCTCTGAGTGGTGCTCGCATGTTCTCCCCGTGTCTGTCTCCAGGAGCTCGAGTGTCCTCCCACAGTCCAACGACATGTCCCTGGGGGTCACTTAATTGGTGACTCTTAATGGCAGGTTTAGGTGTGTGAGAGTCAATTGCTGTCTGTCTCTCTGTCGGCCCTGACATCGACTGCCCTCTTAGCAGTATAGATGGATGACATACAATATTTTCCTACGGTCCCACAGAGAAAACTACTTTGCTGAGATTTTTTCTTGCGATAGAATTTACGTTGTTTTAATAACGTAAATGTATAAACAACATAGACTTTGTTACTGGTCTACGCTCAAACCTCACATTGTGGCTGTATGGAGTGCTTAAAGCATTATTGCCCCAAACCGCCCTCTTATCCCACTAGACGCTGTTGGACTTGGGTGCATCGCCCGACTATAAAGACAGTAGGGGGTTGACTCCTCTGTACCACAGCTCGATGGTAGGAGGAGACCCCTACTGCTGTGAGCTGCTGCTGCATGATCATGCACAAGTTGGCTCTGTGGATGAGAATGGCTGGCAGGAGATACATCAGGTAACACACACACACGCACACACACACAGACACACACACAAAGCTGTGATGTGTTGTTTGCAGAATACAAATGTAGGTGCAGGGTAAAAGGTCTTGTCTGGATTTCAGAGTTCTTTTGAGTTGATTTTTGTGTCTTCCCTTTTTAATCAATTGAGTTTACATTTGCATAATTGCAAAATTTATTGTTTTTCTATAAATTTGTTGAGTGCCAAAACAAATTTCCGATCTATAAAACCGTTATTGAGTCCTGGTACTGCTCACTGGGCAACCATCAACACTTATACATGTATTATTATTACCTATTACCTATTGAATGCTATGCAAATACTGAAGACTACTAAAATGTCATGAGCTATTTGGCTATATCATTTTTAAACATTTTTAAGTCTTCTGTGGTAAAACATTAATCACAAGACTATGTTTTTAATATATATACAAAAATGATTACTTTAAGTTCAGGTCAGCATGGAAACCCATGTGCACCAATATTATTACAAAAAGAGGCTAAATAACAGTCAACGTTTTTCATTTTTCTGCACCAACCATCGCTTACTATCGCTACATACTACTCCGCAACCCCACTTCATCTGTGATTCTTTCTTCCAGAGTTACTTGCCTCCGGTGTAGTTCAAGCTCAAAGACTTGATTTCATAGTTAGAGTGAAGTATGAGTTGTATTTGTACTAGAATAAGCTGAACTGAACCTCATAACTAAGGATAGAACTGCAGTAACTGTTGTGTTGCGGAGTGATTTGTGCCACATGAAATAACCTTAAGGGATTTCCTTAATAAATTTTCTCATACTTTTCTTGAGGTACAAAGAATATTCCCAGGGAGCCCCGATGTGTCTTGTTTAATTTTTATTATCCTTCATTAATGGTCTGCACCTCTTCCCGGGGACTCATGTAGCTTAAAACGTTTGTTCTTTGTGTTGATCACAATGTGCCGCTACGACGGATCGTGTACTATCAATACTGTATCCACAGAGTGGGACTCTAATTCCACTGCTGATGCTGCTAAATTTGCTGTGTATTTATCTTCCGATATCCAATGGCAGGATCTGAAGCGGTGCTGTAGAAAGGAAATATTCTTGTCTCAAATCAAAGCTTACCCACACAGAGTAGCCTTATTTGACGATTGTAAGGGGCCTTACAGGGTGCTTTTGCTTTAGTTACCCTAATGTGCACATACTCATCAGTCTGACACTTTTCCCAAAGTTTGAAGATGTTTTCAGAAAAGAAAATACAAAAATGTTGTTGCGTAATGACTCTATAAGCTTCTAAACCCTTTTTGCTTTCCTTAGAAGTGTGTTCAAGTGTACCTTGGTGGAGACACAGACAATTTGTTTGTTAAAACGTTTTTAATGGAAGGATATACAGAAATCTCAATGATGTGATCAGATGTGTTTTGTGTTTATAAAGGCAAGATACAGTAAAATAAATCTAAGAACCCCTCAGCTCTACACATTTTCTCCCTATTTGATTTATTTCACCTCCTTGCTCTCGTCCCCCGCTTTTCTTGATGTCCTTTCACGCATTAGTATTCTAGGGGTGTATATCGTGCACAATAGGATACACTACTGAAACTCTGATAACCAGCAACAATCCCAGCATCATTTGTGTGCTGTCTCCCTGCTGTCACACGCTCTTAGCAAGACAGCACCCAGGAGGGAGGGAACCATCGCTCGGAAGAGCTGGTGCGCTTCTTTCAATGACACAGGACAAAACCCCGGAGTAGAAGGGAAAGATGGGGGAGGAGATAAATAAAGAGTAGAGGAAATGTTTATCGCTCCGAGGTATCTGAAGCAAAGAAGCTCAACTCTTGTATAATATCATTTTAACTCATTTTAATATTTGGCCCCAGGTGATGCAAAGTTTTTTTTCTTGCTTTTAGAGAGGTAAGGAGAAGTATCTCAAGGGAAAACAAAATAATATATTCAATAGTAAAATATTTTTGTTTTAGTTGTTACAATTTCTGTGTACCTCATTTGTAAAAGAAAACTTCTTGAAACCCAATGAGCTCTACACAACCATGTTGGTTGTTACCTTATACCTTTTTTAAAGTAAATTAGGGTTTGTTTTCTAAATAAAGTAAATATGTGATTATGTCCTTTCAGGCGTGCCGCTACGGCCACGTGCAACACCTGGAACACCTGCTGTTCTACGGAGCTGACATGAGCGCCCAGAATGCATCTGGAAACACTGCACTGCATGTGTGTGCTCTCTACAACCAGGTACCAGTTGTTGAAATGAATATGCTTGGGCGCTTGAGAAGTGGAGTTTTCTGTGGAATTACATTCAAATGGGTTAGATGTGCAATACACGATTTACGTCCAAGGCCAAAGTGGCCAAGTGAGAGAGAATGTCACACTTGCACGGCGAAGAGGCTGTATGACGCGTTTACGTTAGTGCCCGTGGCTAAAATCCCATGTGAAAATCTTTTGCATTTCTTAAATACAGTAAATAACCATGACAACAATCTTCCTCTCTATGACGCGTATGCGATTCCCCAGCAGGTCACATGTACCCACCCTCCGTGATTTCAGTCTGGGAGGCATTGTTGCCATTAGTGCTGATGGTGTCTAACATCTGTGCCAGCTGTTGACGGAATGGTTGTATTGTCGTCGATGTCTCAGATCGGTGGAGTAGTCGTAGTGTAGTTGAGGCTAAACTTAATCGGAATCATATACATTCTGTGTTTGCGTCAATAGAACTTGTTCGACAACTGACTCAAAAATGTTGGGCTGCTGTTAACATCTGTGAATTAGAGGTAAAAAAAACAGCTGTATGTTGTTGTTGTAGTTTGTCATTTTTTGATGGTCTGTTTGATTGAAATGTGCAGTTGTACAGTTATTGTTAAGCTCAAAATGATCAATGAATCACGTTGATTCTTTGTGTCACAATGACTACATCAAGCTTTTATTTATTAGAACAAGCTAAGAACCGTGGTTTTATATTTTAAGGAATTGCTTAAACTGTTTTATATTTTTAGGTTTTAAGTTTTAATCCAACGTCCTCATGGAAATACACCTTAAATCCATAGAGGAATAAATAGATAAAAAGGAAAATTTTGTGCTCATTAATCACCAATTGGTGCTCTGGAGAGTATTCACGCCAGGAGAAACGTGTTATTCGGCACTGACGCATAATAAACCTCAGTAATAAATAACACCAACAATAAAGTGAATGACTCAACAGACAGAACGTCTGTATCCCTATATATATATATAGAAGGTTTTCCTTCATTGGTAAAAGACAGTAGTCCTTCAGTTCATGAACATTAAATGAGCACTTTGCTAGGACTTCATTAACAAATGAAATATGTTTTAGTTGTGTGTGTGTGAGTATTTGCATGTTGTAATTTGAACTGTGTGTTCCAGTCATGAGGAACGGCCTGCTTCAACTGGACTGGAACACCACAGTCTCATGAGAGCCAGAGAGGTTTTCAGCTACAGGTTTTGAAAGCACAGCATCAAAACTTAACACAATCTGTTTGTAACACATTCATTTGACTGAAGTCATTATATGTTCACACTCCTCAGTCAAGGGGGGGACAGGAGTTGTTGTGTGTGAGTGTGAGTGTGTGTGTATGTGCATGTGGGTGGATATAATGATAGAGAAGATGGAGGAAACTGGGAACTGGTGATACCCCTGATACAAAGTTCTAACTGGGAAACTCCCCGGAGTTTGGTCCACGGTAAATGGTTCTGCTATCGGTACTTTAGAAGTTTCTAGTGAGTTCTCTGTGTAAAAAACTATGGGACGAGGGGTAGAGTCGTGCGGAGAAGCACGCCGGTGGATGGCCTGCAGTAATGTTCTAAAATTCAAAAAAGTATAAGCAACAAAAGGGAGGTTTTTTTCTTGCAGTTCAAGTTGTTGATTATTTTTTAATTTTTCTCACAAAATAATCAAAAAGAACCGGTGAGAGTTTTGACAGGGAACCAAACCGATAAGCTGCGTTGATATTAGCATTAGCATTGATAAGCTCCTAACGATACCTCTCCCTCTCCGGAGCCCGGTAAATGCAGTGGCGAAGATCAATATGGAGAGAGAAAAGAGAGGTTCAGGTAAAGGTGAGGGAGAGTGGATGAATGGCAAGATAACATAATCAGCAGCAACAGCGTAAACCTGATCAATGCTTCCATTGAGGGGGTCCGGCTGGCCATTACCATTCACTCACTGGGCTTTCAGCCCGGCACTCGTGATCAGCAGCAGTGAATGAAGCCGCGCTAGGGGTCTTTACCCGGCAGACAGATCCATGCAAGCTGGGTCGGGTAAACTATTGAGAAAGGACACAGTAGGTAGTATAATGGCAACTGGTGACCACCAGGATGAGTGGAGTTAGAGAGAGGATGTGCGAGACACACACAGACCTGTTCAAACCAGAGATCAATGTAATCTCTGAGCCACTTCTTGATAAGCTGCGCAGAGGAAAAGAAACCCTATTCCGTGCTACAGCACTTTTGTTATGTTGTTGTTGCACACGATAATGAGGAATATTTCAGACCTAAATTGTGCATCATTATGTGCTTTTGATGTCACAATCCAATTTAAAAACAAACTCTACTCCCAGTGGATGCCAAATCTGCTTCAAATCTAATGAAAGAAGAATCCTCAACTGTATAGACATGGCTGTGAGAGCTACCATCTGTCTCACTCGTTACACATGACTGACCCACGTCATTACTGTAAAGTACTCAACTTAGCTCACTGTGTATTCCTCTCCCAAAAATGTAATCACATCTAGCAAACCACGGTGAGGACTGCTGGAAAGGTTTTCTTAATGAATTCCTATAGGAAGCTTTAGAGAAAAGAGCACGACAGATGGCCCCGCGCTGTAATTGGCCTTTGCACGTATGGGTGTGTGTATGTGTGTGTGTGTGTGTGTGTGTGTGTGTGTGTGTGTGTGTGTGTGTGTGTGTGTGTGTGTGTGTGTCTTGTCTGTGTGTGTGGCCTATGCATTTTTCCAAAGCATGTGTGTAAAAAAGTGTTAAATGTCTATAAATAACAAAAACTCAGGAATTCAACTACTGAGCGGCATTCATGTGATTATTTGAGAAGGTGAACTTGTTTACGTCAATGTTAGTAGCAGTAGAGTATGTTGTAACGTGCACGTATGGGAGAGATTCAAGTGCCGGGTGGGCCTTGCGTGTAACCTTTACACCGGGGATTGGTGCGGAAACATTGTTACTATCGTCGTCAAGGAGGTTGATTTTGGTTTGTTGTGTTGGTCAGTAGAAACACAAATACAACATTGAACCTATTTCCATGAAACTGTGTTGAATGGCTACATTTTGCCGTTGGCAGAGTTCTTCTCCCTGACATGCTACTGACCGACGGTTGCTGGCCGTCATAATAACACAACACACTTTCCAGCTTGAATTTTTTTTTAGGTAATCAAATACTGAAAGTCACAACAAGCGGTGGACAGTTTTGACACAGAGGTCAAAGAAATGCCGCTCTCAACACAGGCGGAAAGGAATGAATCTGAGCCGCACAACCAAACTGAAAACTCCCTATTTGGCAAACGGCTTTAGAGACGAAAGACAGATATCCAGTGTCTGATGACATGTGTCCAATGTGTGATGTATCTGTATATATATATGCTATACATGAAACAGGCAGTTGAGTCTGAACTGCTCGTTCTGCGGCAGGTTCTCTAATCCCATTGAAATGGATGCAATCATTTTTTGTTTTGTCTGTCTTTGTAAACCTTTCATATAAGAATGAAAGATGAATGAATTGAACGAATGTCCATACATATTTGTTGAATGGTATTCATTATATTTCTTCTTAAAACCATCGATGTACATCCATACATCTCATTGGGGATTAATTGACTCAGGGGGGGCGATATTGACAGTACTCATTCTGTTATTTCTCAGCACCATCTAGTTATATGGCATTTACAACTAAGGCCCTTCTTCCTAGAAAGACAAAGATATTTTAGACCCCGTTATCAGCGTAATGCAGAGTATTCATGCATTAATTGTTAAACCTGCTGCATTTACAAAGCCCCTCCCTCCCCCCCCATATTCACCATCTATACGTACATGAACTTTGCAGGCGTTTACACGCTGCTCAGTTCAGGCACACCAGAAGAGGACGCCACAGTGAATCAGCGTTAACCTCAAACGGTAGTATATATGACCTGGTATATTAATACAGATCATCAGATACAGCCAGCTTGATGAGATAAATCACATGGAACCAAACGTTGAATTAATGTTGTGAGTTGACAGGAGTCTTTGCGCTGATTATAGAGCCAGGCTAATCCTGCTAATCCTTCATCAGTGTTAAATTACGCATCGGCCCTCTTCAAGTCAGCACATGGACACATTAGCGTGTCTGCCCATTTACAAATAGGGATTTTGTTATGCCTGAAGAGCCAGGGCTCGTTTACACACACAGCAATATATTGTAATAAGTCTGACACATAAGAGAGTCAAATGTGTGGTTGTGAACTATTGATTGTTGTGCATGTTGGAATGTGTTTCTTCTATTAACTCAATCCCAGCTCAATTTTTTATATCCGCATGTATCTTTTAGTCATAATTTAGCCATTGCTTTCCCACCTTTTGTCATTAGCGACACACATTGTCGTTGGAGCCAATTCATTAGTGAGATCATTCTATTATTATTGTATTTATTTTGGTTCACACATGTCTGTTAATAAAGTATGAGAGAAAAGCAAGTGGTTGTCAGACCGCTGGTTCCACATATACGGATATATTCGTGCACATTTGACTGTCCGGTTTAAAGAAATTTCGAATTATAATTTTGCATCCCAATTGTCCCGCTCAATTTGTCCAAACGACATACAATGATACTTTAAAGTCGTAGTCAAACATGTGCTTCTCTTTGGGCTCATCCAGGACAGCTGTGCACGAGTCATCCTGTTCCGGGGGGCCAATAAGGAGATAAAGAACTACAACAGCCAGACTGCCTTTCAGGTATGTGCGGTATCCAAGAACCGCGACGCGCTCCTCTGCTTGCAAGGTCGTAGTTTACCTCCTGCGGCTACATTGAATCGTTGATTGCTGTTAAAAACTTAGGCAGCGTATCAGCACCCACCCACTGCTTGCTCCCCATCACAGTATGTGTGTGTGGTTGATGAAGTCCATGTGAAAATAACACAGAAACTTTCTGTGCAGATCAAAGTTAATTATTTTTCTAGAAGGCAGGCTGTTCCACACGCGGTGCCCAAAACGTTGTCACACATACAGATTTTAACCATCTACCACAGCGGCAGACTAAACGTGCTGAGCGTTTATTAGCAGAGGGAACAAAAGAAAAAGATTCTTTATTTATTTTTGTGATATGTTGAGATGTTTATTATTTCGTTGAATTAAACTACTTTCCACTTTGCGACACGGGCCGTTTCAAGTTTCCTTTCTCCTTGCTCCTCTTCATCCCAACCTCCAGGTGGCCATTATAGCCGGAAACTTTGATCTGGCTGAAATCATAAAGGTCCACAAAACATCGGATGTTGGTAAGTCGGCGCCAGCGGAAGTATATCACCAAACGACCTGAGTCTTTTAATGGTTTGAACATCAACGTGGTCAGACTGAAGAATGGAGTGTAGAAAGGGGAGAAGCCAGACAAGAGTAATTTATGGTTATATGCAAAGGTGAAAAGGGAATTGGAATAGAAATAAAGGGGATTTGAAGACGGTTTCAGGGAATTATGGTATCCCTGTTGAGTTGAGTGTTTCTTTCTGTGACGTTCATACAGGAAAACTCTGCCATCTAGTGTGGACAGGCTTCAAAACCCCTATTTTAGGGTTATTCCAATATTGTATTCCCTGTAACATATGTGATGTTTGCAATGGATGCTTCTTTTAATGTGAACAATACTTTTCCCCTGAAAGTACACTTTCAATGTGTACTTTGTGTGAACTTAAACAAGACTTGTTTATTGTTTGTTTCATGAAGATAATACTTAATTCCCAGCAACTTGATCTATCAAATCAAACATATGGTTTACTCATTCCTGAGTAATAAATATTGAATGATAATTATATGTAATATCATTTTCGAGACTGAATAGCAACTGTTATGATACGATTGTGTTTTCTCTATGTCTTTGCTGTAGTACCTTCGATAAAAGACATATCATTGTATCACTTGATCTCCGCGTAACAGTTTACTCTACAGTGGCTCCACGCGATAATCTGAGTCTGTAAAGAGTTGTTCTCTGTCTCTCTCTCTCTCTCCCCTCAGTGCCTTTCAGAGAGACCCCCTCCTACACCAGCCACCGACACATGGCGCCCGGTAGCCTGCCCTCGCCACGCTCCTTACTACGCTCTGCGAGTGACAACAACCTGAACGGGGACCACGATCACATCCGCGGTCAGGCACCTAGAGAAACCCGTGGCCGTCAGGGTCACTCCCCTGTTCCCTCCCTGTGCAGCCTTCCGGCTTTCGGGCAGCAGCACAGCAGCCTTGGAGAGGTTAGATGGAGCTAGTGAGGCCCTGCAGCTGTGTTTGAGTTTTCTATAGATGACTAGATGGAAATAGTGAAAACGTTCTGTAGATGTGCTGCATATGATGCCCTCCTCTTCTTCTGCTCTGCCTCAGAGCCGTCATGGAGAGATCCCTGACAGCAGTCTCCAGAGTACGGGCAGCTCCAGGTCCTCCCACTCCCGCTCGCCCTCGCTACATCACATTTACGAAGAGGACAGGCCAGTTCCCAGAAGGTCCCACAGCCACGGCTACCCTCAAGGACACGGCCATCGCGGAAGACTCAGGTCCGTAAGATTTGGATTGACCTCGAATTTGTGAAATGGGATAAAGTAAGATGATCCTTTATTACAAGTGTGTTACACCAGGAAAATAGTGGAACAAAAATGGCATCAGTAAAGAAAAAACCCAGCATAATAAATAAACCAAGATACAGTAAAGATATTGAGATATTTAAGTTATTATCAATAAGATAAACCATAAAACTAACAAAAACTCAAATAAGATACAACCAGACTTAATGGTTGCGTTCACATTATTGCGCATATGAAACATGTATACCTACTTTGATATTCAAACCACATTTCAGAAACCAAATAGTGCCACGTGATGTGTCTGATTCTCGTTCGCCACCAGCCAGCTCTCTGTGTCTTATTCCATCTGCTACCGTCTACTACTAGTGATAAACAGGATTTATCATGGGTGCAAAATGGTATTTATTTATTCATACATCAATCCCAGGCACCAATGAAAGTTGAATCCTGTTGAAACAGCAGTTGCAACCCACCTTGAAAAGTAGTATAAAGTGGGAATTAAATCTGAAAAAACTTCAGGTTTCTGTTTTCTGATTGACTGATCAGTATAGGGTCATATTTACAGTTGATTGTCCCGTATTCTTATAGCGGTATGAGGACAATGATTAGTGTCATGGTGTGTGTCTGGCAGCCCTGTTTATATAACAAACTAGAATGAAGTAGTGCATTTGTCGTGCTGAGAGGACACACGGAGGGCAGACATCACACTTCAAATCTCTGTCTCTGCTTGTCTCTGTTTGTATGAGAGCATGTATGTATAGCCGCTTACATACCAATGTGCATGCGTTTTTTTCACAGTTCAGAGCAGATGGAAAGTGGTTGGTAATAATCACATTGGGGAGCAATTGAAGGCCGCCAAGCTGTGATTGTGTTTGTCAGTTCATGTGGGAGAGAGAGAGGATGAGTGACAGCGAGAACAGACACATTCTGAAATTAAAGCTATGAGTAATTTCATTGGACGAGTCACTCGGTTCAAAACAGCTTTTCACTTGGTAGTTACACAAATCTACAGATGTGGGTGTGCTGCTCCTCCCTCCCACCCTGAGTCATAAGTCAAACCGAACAGTGAACCGGGGCTCTGATCACGTCTTGGAGCGATGGAGTGGTTTACTGACCACTCCATCGCTTGTAAAGCTTTTTATTATGATCTTATGCTAGAGCAAGATCACCTACTGTATGTACACCACACATACACACACACACACACACACACACACACACACACACACACACACACACGTGTGCTTTTTAAAGTAAAGCAGTTTGATGTCTGACAGAAGAATTGCATGACCGACACAGCTCCAGCCATACGCCCTCTCCTTATAATTCTCTGCTGTCACTTTACTCAATCCATCTCAGACTCCCTCTCAGCGGCGGCTGGTGGAAAACATTCTAGGTAGGACAATCAAATCAATTTCAGCAAATATCCCAAGTTGATTTAATGCAAAACAATTACTGTATCAAAAACACATCACTACTTTGCAGTTAAATATTTATTCAAAAAAACAAACAGTAAATACTACAATCTTATTTGTCTCACCTAGGTACCTAGGTAATGTAGTGACATATAAATCAAATACTATGATATAATATATACTGCATATATGTCTTTGGTCTTTACTTCCATCAGAATGTCATCCGCCTGTTGAGACTTGATGAGATGACACAAGCTTGTGGCAAAACCAAAATTGCTAAAGGCTGAATCTATTTAAGGAATCTGATTGGCTGAATTGTATGTTTTTTTAAATGCAAATACTACATTTTTAATAATTTAATTTTTTTTTGGGCTTAAGGAGAGATGCGCCAGGTGGGGCAATGCCCCATTGCTCTCTATTGGCCAGCCGCCACTTCTCCCGCTCTCCTTTTTCTTTCTCTATCCCTCCTTCCCCCTCTCATTCCCTCATTCAAACACAAACACACACACACACACACACACACACACACACACACACACACACACACACACAAATGTGTATACACAGTGCCGTTAGTCTACTGTATGATTTGCAGGTATAGAGCAGTCAACATCCTTCAGCGTGAAACCGTGTAACATGCACACATCACCCCATAGAAACAAAAACAAAAAAAGTGTTTGTGTAGGTTTCATCACCTCTCTCCTCTCCATATCCTCTCTTTTTATCAGATGTTGTGTCCCGTTTATCTGGGTCTATGTTGGTATTAACGTTTGGTAGAAACGTATATTTCTCTCCTCGTCATTTTGTACACAGTTGATTCGACAGACTGAGCATTGGTTAGAATGTCTGCTGGTTCCGGCTCTAAATGGCCTTCTGTTAGCAGGCGGCGCTGAGACCCTTTTGCATTTAGCTGCCTTACAACAAATATTCAAGTGAGATGAATGTATAAACGAGCAGCTGGTCTCCATGGCCGGAACCTGCACCCAAGTGGGACTGACAGTGTCCTTGACTATTTTTGCTCTAAAATTTCTCCCTCCCTACTCTGTTTCTTTCTCTGACCTTCTGTTTATGCCAATGGTTTCACTAGAGGCTGTGTGGGTACCAGGGGAGTGTGAAATTAGTTTGGCCGGTCAACAGCCTGCCCAACGGCAGACTCCAGCAAGTTCCTGTGGAACTCACCATTACTTCCTTTATGTGGTGTGTGTGCCGTGTTGCCAAGGTTCAATTGCCTGGTCCGTGCTCTAGCAGGGATTTGCAATGGAAACAATAGTGAAAAACACAGATCAGATCAGCTTTGGTTAGACTAAATCACATTAGATGTGATAAAACATGGTTATGAAGATCAATCCAGCTATTGCAGTTAAACATATAATAGGACGTGACACTGGGTGATAATATTTTATTCAGATTAAAGCGAGGCGCTTGTGTCACAAGAGGTTAATTGACTGCTAGCGTGAAGTGCTGTCAATACAAAGAGATAATTCCATCATTAAAAGGATTCTTTCTTGACAGTATCAGTGTGTGAAATTCTGATTTTGCGTTGTGCACCGTAGGACCTATCAGTCTCGGTTTGGAAGAAAAGTAGTGAAGCTTCTGGATAGAGCAACATTGTGCTACAATAGAGGCAAACAGCCATTATCTTTTCCATTTATTGCTTTTGATGGCGTTTTTCCTTAAACAGCAGAGGATGTGTGGACACAGAATTCGCAACCTCAACCACCTTCCATTGAATTTTTTAGCCGTTTCTTAAATCTGAAATAAATTTATTAAAGAGTTTATTAAAGCTTTCCTAGCGGTGCTATTAAGCAAAAACAGTCATTACCTGTTTATGTGCTCCATCCTGACCCGTCATGTAATGAATAATGACAGTAAGCCCAAGATGGGGGCACCACGTTCCCATCACACTTTGAATTATTTGTTTGTAGCTGTTCACCTCAGCTGTTTGGCTGTTGGTGAATTTATTATACGTGGCGTGTTAACAAGGGCAAACCTGGGCTGACCCGCTGAGAGAAGAAAAGAGGAACGGAAGAGGCGGCAATGGACAGTTGACTGTCAGTGGTTGTGGTTCCGTCTGGCCAGCGACATCCTCTAGCTCTTCCTGCTGGTATTCAAGGCGTTCCCCGTGGCAGATTGGATGTGTAATCCATGGAGCGTGGCATGTGTCTACCTGGAGGTCTCCTTTAACCGTAACTGTGCTGGGGGGGAGGGGTTCTACTCAGCGCTCCCTCCGCATATCTAAGCATTTCACCTTTTCCCTGGAAGTGAACCCCTGATACCATGTGCAGGAAATTCATTTTGCCTTTTTGTATCTATGAACTTCTTCTTTCTGATATCTTCCAGAGCTCATGGCCGTATGGTGGATATTTCGGAGATAAACTGAGAGTCTTGCCTTCGGCTCGGCTCTCTCTTCACCACAAAAGTCCAGTAGAACACATACATCCCTGCAGACGGTGCATAGATACGCCTGTCATACCCGGATTGTTTCTCGTTCTCGCTGGTGCAGCAGACAACACTTTGGTCACCACAAGATAATTACTTTTGATTGGGAGTGAAATGTCGTATGTGTAGTGTGGTGGAAATTTGTGGATTTAGCCCTTGTGAGAAACCAAAAGTATCTCAAACTTGCTTTGTGATTAAGTATTTATTACTAACTAGAATATAGGAAAATGATAAAGAAATCATCAGCACAAGTCGTAAGCAGAGACAGAAGTCAAATGACTACAATTCAGCTGAAAAGGGACAGATGTTCCTTCCCCCAAAAGGAGCAGGAAGATCTGACCAAGTTGAAGAGGAAAACAGGAGCTTATATACACTTCAGGGAGGTTTGTGCTGCCTCAGGACAGGAGAGCCCACCCCTCAAGAGGAGTGTTGGAAAAGTACCAGACGATGTAGGGGTGACCCCGTGACCCTCCCTTAAGGGACCCGGTCAATCAACAACATCTAAAAGGTCAGTCAGGGCACGTATGATTTCATCTGTGTCTTATCTCACCCTGGACTGCCTTAAGTCACCGGCTCACATCAAAGGTCACATTCCTGAGAGCCTCACCCCACGCAGGCTCAACAATTTTCCCCCAACATCCCTCTCTTTTTGTTATTTTTGACAATCCGGAATCAACCGTGGTCTTCATGCAATTCCTTAATGCCTTGCTCTGTGTCTGCCACGACATCATAATCAGGATTCAGGAATCAGGAATCAGGAAACATTTATTACCAAAATATGCCAAACATACAAGGAATTTGTCTTGGCGGTTAGTGCGCGACAGTAGACAGACAAGACAGCAGTGCAGAAGTAATAAAATAAAGTAAAATGAAATGCTAATGCAATGGGTTAGTAGAATAAGGCTATGGGTTAGTATAAAATAAGGGAATGAAGTTAAACATTTTAAATATTAAAAAAGTTTTGAAAAAATGTTAAGCATAAAGTGCACTAACGAACAAGTGACAAAGAGACGAGTGACGATAAAGTGATGAATTGCAGTTAAAGTGACATGTGCAGTGTGGAGGGGAGTGACCGGTGGAATGTTATAGTCAGTCAGTGGGGGACCGGCTCTGTTGATG